AAATTATAGAATCATAGAATCATTTAGTTTGGAAAAGACCTTTAAGATCATTAAGTCCAAGCCTTGGTTTTACAGAGGTGTCCCACAACCTTGCTGTCCCATCTCCATTTTGCTGCTGGGTACGGGAAGGGGCGCTGGCAAAGGAGACCCATCATATAAACCCCCTTTTTCTGCCATATGAAGCTGATTTCTCTGTGTTGAAGCTCTTGCAGCTCCTAGCACTGAGCTGGGACCCCCTCAGCCTCTTCCAGGAGGAGCATGGGCGGTCAGCTGTTTACAAACAGAGAGCCAGAAAGCCAGTTCTCATAGAAAGATGTCTTCCCGATCCTACACATGCCTGTAGGGAGGAATGTTAAGGATCAGGTATTTCCACTTCTCTCCATATCCATTAACATGGAAGGGAGGGCAGGTCTTTCTGACCTAAGTGTTGTACAAACACTGAATTGGAACTGCCTGAGTGAGGGGATGTAGTAGTTAAGACCCACACGCCTCCAGCCTAGCCCTGGGCTCAAGGGGATGGAGGGAAGTTTCCACCCTGCTAATGAAGGGTCTGTGTAGGTTGGTTGCTGCAGTTAAGATGGATTCTCAAATAAAGCATGTGAAAAAACAAAGTTTAGGGAAACAAAAAAAAAAAGGAAGGAGGGAGGAGTGAGGGGAGAAGGGCAGGGGAGGGAAGGAGGTAGAGAAACACGCCAAGTTTTCCTCGCCAAAAGAAAATGTTAAGGGCTTTGGCTGGGGGTTGTCCAGCCGCAGCCGCGCTGTACATGTGTGTGGGGGAGAGGAACAGCAATATGAAACACATGTCTGGATAAAAGCAGCAGGACATGGCTTGTGTTACAGCTGTCACAGTGCACAGGCCTCAGCCTCATTACAACGTAAGGGCGGTTATGGGAGCGGAGGAACAAAATAAACCCAGTTTTGATAGAGCAGATCCTTTCTGTGAGACAGCCCTCTGATCACACAGCCTGCAGTGGGCCAGAGCAGAGTCACACATGGACAGCAGGGACTGTAAGGGACTGTGAGAGAGCTGGGTGAGGAGAGCAGCACCCAGCCCTCACCTCCACTGGGGCTCTCACTGCTCTCCCACACAGCCACAGCTGATGTGGTTCAAAACGGCTTCCTCTGAGGAAGCAGCTGTTGTAACCTTTAGTTTTGAGTTCCTACACCCAGGTGTCATCTTTACTAGGATCAGTCCACCTTATTTCAAAAAACTCAAAAATGCATGTAACTTGTGAGACCTGGAGGTCTGAGATCAGTCAAGGACAGGGCACAGAGGGGGCTGTTGAAAGGTGGAGGAGTTTCCAGCACCCCCTGTGAGCTCCAGCTGCCAGACCTCAACCACCAAACTACTGACAGATCCCACTATGTATGTGAAGTAACTACAAGGCTTTCACAGGCACACAGCTACCTCTCTGTCAGCTTCCTGGGGAATGGTTATTTTGCTAATATTAGAATAGACTTTCAGGCTAGATTCAAGCATCACCAACCCTAAAAAAAGTTCTCTTGTAGGAGAGCTACAGGTTTATTTTTAAAATTGACCTTTTCCTTTCATTGGATGGCTCAGTGCTTTGGTCTCCCCACTTAAAAAATTCCTAGTAGTGAGGAATTATCTCATGGGGTTTTGTGGATGTGTTTGTGGGATGGACTGGAGAAAACCAGGGTGCTCAGTAGAGGTGTAAAGACTCTCAGCTCAGTGCCCCAGTGGGTACCTCGGCTACTGAAAATGCTATTGCAGGGAATTCAGTGCCTTTTTATATTAATCTAATATTTGGTTGTAGGGGAGAGAAGGGACATTTACAGTGCTGCCTCAAAACCCACCTCCAAATAGTGGGTAGTGGTGATGACAGGGTATTCCAGCCAAAGGGCTGCCCAGTCAGGGCAGCTTTATAATCTGAAGGAATGTGTGGCCTTCTTTTCCAGACCAACTGACAAAGTCAAAGCTTTTCTCCCATGACACTGAGCTGCAATTTACCAGTTTGGGTGTGTGCTGTTAAAGGGCTGAATTCTCTTGATACTGGAAACTATTTTCATCTGCTTGGGAATGAATTATAGGTCTGTCTGGCACCGTTCACTCCTGTTTTAGGAAAAAAAGGGCTTGTCTGAACTATAGTTAAGATTCACGTGGCTGGTCAACTACAACCGTGGCAGCAAACATTGCATTAACAATGATGAGGGAAAACCATGCACTGATAATACAACTACATTTCTATGGCCCTTTTCATCTCAGCAGTACACTAAAAGCTTGGAACAATAAACAATCGTGCAGGAATTATGACACGTTATGCCAAACTGCATCCAGACTGTAGTCACACCTAGCAACCCACATTGTTCTGGAACAGGAAGCACTGCAGACCTTATCCAGATGAAATCAGAAGCACATTTCAAGAACAAAGCTGGTAGGTTTTGAAACTGGTCAAAGCTTCATGTTCTTTAGAAAGTGGCCAAACACAGTCAGAGTTTATTTTGGAGTTTTAGATCAGAATAAAAAGCATCCCCTCCCCTTTGGCTGCTCAACACCCTCCTTCCATGAGGCTGGGCTTGCCTTCTAAGACTTCCCACAAAATAAGCTACCACAATCCATACAGGCTTCCCATCCCTGTACAGATCCAATTTCAACCAATTTGACTTGCCTGAGTAAGAACAACACAAAGCATTTGCTTCTCCACAGTCAGTCTTGGGAAAAAGACAAGGTTGCAATGGGAATGTTGCCCTGGCATTCTGCTTGATGGGCACATCAGGGAGGTTCTCCTTGGTAAGGTCTCTGGAGCTTTGGTGCTGTGGACAGTGGGCACAGTGGAGGAGATCTGACTCCACTGGGACCTGCTGCATTAGGACTAGAGGCACTGACAGCTTCTTGTTCCCAACAAATTCCCCCCTCCATTGCTCTCCATTTTTAGATTACCTGAGCAACAAATCCACACACAGCACAGTAAAAGCAATGGATGAGGATCATGGCAAGAGCAGTAGACCCCCTGTGGAGCATGGCTGGCTTAGGAACAAACAAGATGCTTTCATCTACTTCCAACCTAAATGGGCTCAGTGACCAAAGTGTAACAGGCAGTGAGCAAGTAAAGGCCAGTTCAGTTTGTAACTGCAACAAAACCAGGGACTTATTGTCTCCTATCTAAAGATTTCCGAGCATGTTGGAGACTTGGACACACAACAATTAACAAACAAACCTCTGATGATGCTTACATGTTCCAACTCTTTGCAGAGATGAAGTCACCCAACAGAAGGATGAGATGACTTATCCAAAGTCACGCCACCAGTAAAACATCACTGGCAGGCCGGGAAAACTGCTTCTATTTACTAACCTCCAGTCCTGGGGCTAAACCACAAACTCAAATTCATGTCCTTTGCACTTAAATAGGCTGCTCAAATACCACCAGGGTTATGAGTAAACAAGTGTCTCATTCCTCAGCAGTAAATTTCAGCTCACCCACTCCCTACAGTTCAACTCTGGATGCACCTGTGTGCACACACAGATCGGATGCAGCTTTCCAAACCAAAGACACACCAAAAAAACCCTATCAATTTGCATCAATTCCAAAAGATTTACAGCAACCTGACTAGCTTTAAGCAGTGGCATGTGGGACCCCATCACACATGGTCATCCCAAAGCTCCTTTTGTTGCTTGAAGCCTGGAAGCCCTCCCACACAGCCAGTTCACAGCACAAAGGAACCCTGACTGAGGCTTTTCTCTCAAATGTCTAGATTGAGGCTTTTTAATGGCTTTATTCTCAAAAGGACTGAGCAGCCAACTTCTTTGAGTGCTTCAGTATGGCATGAGTCCATTAAAACAACTCAGAAAGATAATTTCAGTGCTATTATGGCAATTTTCACAGCTTTATTCAGTGGGCACAGCAAGATGAATCTGCATTAGCGCTTTCTGGGAATCTGAATCTATATAAGCCCTGAACACAGGCCATGCTCTTTGGTTTTACAGGGTCATATAATCCTTGCAGCTGAGCAGCACACCTGCAGCTGTTACCATTCCCCTGCATCATTACTGTGCTCTCTCTTTTCGCCCAAGCCTAACAACTCATGACGCATGGCAGATTGGGCCTTTTTTTCCCTCAAAAAGAAATAAAACCAAATTAAATGATTTATCATATTCCCTCCTCTGCTGTGCCTTGTAACATAGGGAAGGGCAGAAAGATTTGATGATCTAGTTCAACTGGCAACACTGGATAGATGAATTATTTCTTAAAGAACAGCCAGAACAGGATACAGCTGAAATCATGGATTTCAGGCTGCCACCCCATCCCAGCAGGAAATTCTAACCCGCCTGTCACAAGACACCAGCATTCAGCTTACTTTCTTTTCCACCTGAGTTTCTCATCTTGCCTCTCTTCCCCTTATTCTCACTTCATGTGAGCTCTGGCTACAGCTGTGGAGCAGAAGTTCCTGACATTAGTCTAACAATGTGTTATGAAGACCACACTGCACTGTGGTCATTCACTGTTTCTTCTGTAACAAGTTCCATCAGCTTTGCTGCCCTACAGCCATGTCTCCTCTGCTCTGGAGGGGTCCCACCCTCGGTGGGTGAGGCTTTGAGGAAGGAAAATGATGAGCAAGGAGAAAAACACCAGCAGACAATTATGTTTGCTCCAAGCTCCACAGAATCTGTGAGGTAGTAACTTGGGTGGCTCTTCTAGGCTCTAAGCCAGCACTCTAACACTAGAAAGTAAACTGTCAGTTAACTTACAGCCTACAGACCTACAACCTTAGGTTTTAAATCTCCCAAGAGTTGCCTGTTTTAGTAATAATCATTACAATTACTGCTTCAGTAATGAATATGCTGCGCCACCTTTCTGTTACTACTGTTGGTGACAGTAGTAACAGAACTGGGAGCTTCCTTGAACAGAGTATAACAAAAAAAATGAATTAATTCTTACAACTCGACTGAAATTTGTAAGTAATGTCATCACTGTTGTGTTGTACAAGAGGAAGATGAATAAGTGACACAGCACTATTCTTACCCTTATGCTAATCTCAAGGGTGAGCTCTTGGTTTCGCTGAAATCAAGTGGGAAAAGGTCAGAATCAAAACCAGTCCTGAACAAAGACTTTAAATCACAACTAGAATGGAACATACAAGTAGAATGGAATATACAGAAGTCTGTGAATGTAACTGGATTTCTTGGGAGAGTTTCACTTTTTTTTCTTTAAGAATTATTTTGTTATTCACCCTTTTGCTACGCTGCACAAGCAGAAATCCCAAAGCAGCGAGAGCCCTTGGAACCAGAGTGCAAGTCAGAAGTGCAGTCGAGCAGAAAAACATTTGCTTCCTCACGGGTAGACTGGAGACTGCACCACCAACATCAAACTTTGCCCCTGATGTAGTTCAGACCAAGGTAAACAAGCAACATTCCTTGCAAGTTTTAGAATAAAAACTCCTTCACTTAGCTCCAGAGCAGGTACCATGGGCAGGGGAATGGCCGTTACTGAGACACGCCTTTTCATTTCAGACTAAGCACTTTGCTAATCCAGAGTTCTACAATCCTAATCAGTAATTTTACACTGTATACCCAAACTTCACAAGCCTGGCTCTCATATTTGTTCCTTCTGGTGCAGTCCAAAGCATGGCATGGAAGGTTATCACAGCAGATTCCTTACTAGGAGAGCTTCTGGACAGGCAGAAACACCTCCAAAGGGAACAAACATTTTCGAGATGTTAGAGCCAGAATTTTTTTCCTTTTTTTTTTTTTTTACATTTTTCTTCTAGAGCCAAGAACAGAAAACACAAATCACCTCTGCTTCCTGCACCATCTCTTGGAATGGAAACAAAACTGAAAACCTGCTGACGCAGAATCCCACAGCACCGTGCAAAGGATAAGGCAGCCGTTTCTGGAGCAGCTCACTTGGGGTATGCAGTCATCTGGAAAGAACTATTTAGCCCTAGTCTCAAAAGTGACCTTTTCAGGTCAAAAGGCCACAGCTCTGCCTCCCTGCTAAGTTGCACAGAGATCTTTCTGTAGATGTAGATTTTCCATCCACCCCCATCCCAGCTGGTTCTGATTTTTATTCCTTAGCTTGGGTTTAAAAGAACAAAGAAAAGCCTTTTTGAATTGCATAAACATACAAAACTTAATTTAACTTGGCACTGTAATATTTAAGCCCAGCATGCAAAGAAACAGCCAAGGTCTCTCTGTCCTCAGTGTGTTTAGAAGAAACTGAACTCCAAGCCTCCATTTGTTTGAGTAACCGATCCAGATGTGCAGGAAGGAATTAGCTGGCTTGTTCTGGAAGTGCCCTCTTGGTCACTTGGCTTTGTGTTATCACCAAGACCAGGACATTAAACTGCAGTGTTCAAGTCCCATAACCCAGTGTTGACTATTACAAAATACACAAACTAGGATATTTTGATATAACAATGATATAAAAGTTATAATCCATTCAAGTGTTGGCCTGTCTAAACATTTGTTTTAGGTGAAACTATGGATGTTTCTCAACAATATCCAATTCCAGTTCCTGACTGAAGAAAAAATTGAGCATCCATAGGTCTCCTGCCCACTAGTTTGTTGCAATGCCTTCCAAAATCCTGCTCATGGGGCAAAAGATCAGCATATATTGGTGACAAAACTGAGGCACATAACTTTGATTACACTAATATTTTCAGTAAAATTAGCTCCTGATGATCACTCTGAGAATAAAGAAGGTCTAAGATTACTGAGCAGGATTAACCTCCCTTGTGGAGCATCTCCCCAATAGATCCAGGGGCTTTTATTTGCTCATCACCAGCACTGATGGGTGGACATCCATTGTTCAATTCATACATTGCTCAGTTAGCATGTGGCTCAAAATAAAACCCTTACCGTGCATTCATCTGTAAGAACTTGAAAAGCATCCAGCTGTCCCCAGTGAATGCAGACTTTAAATCTTAATATCACCATACAGTAAAACTGGTTGATAAAACATTATTAATGGTATTGTACTGAGGTGTTGAAATAAGTGCCTTAGTTTTTGAAGAGGCTTTCTGTAGCTCAAAGTGCAAGAAGCCTTCAAGGGAGTCTACTTTGTGTTACTCAGTAAAAACCAACTGAAAACTAATGTACCACTGGAGTTTAGCATTTGGAATTCAAGTTGAGTTAGAACTGCATTTCTTTCTGGAAGGACAAGTTAGCACAACTAGAAAAAAAAATTATTTTCATTGGCTGAAAGCCAAGGGCAGGCACTGTCCAGTTCTAACTCTGTGTCTGCTGAAATAAGTGTCCTTGTAGAAGAAACACCGTTTTGCCTTTGCTTAACAGTGCAGTTGACAAAACACCCTCCAAGCTGGATTTTGAAATTAAAACAGTGCTAGAACACGTAGACAGTTAATAGTCCTCCACCTTAGCTACTGGGAGCAAGGACTGAGACCAGATAAACTTGTTTTCCTTGTGATCACCAGCTGTATAAGAAGGCTGGCAGCTCCCTAGCATTAGTCAGTGAAGAGGTTTATTCTCTGTTTGGTTCTTCTACAGCATAAAGCCTGGAGAGCTTGTGACAGAATGTCTACTGAAACCTTTCTGAAGGAAATTCAAGGCATTGCTGAGAAGTTTCTCCTTAAGCTTCAGAAACTGCCCAAGGCTGAGCCAGTGGAAATTGTCTGCTTTTGTGTGGTTCTTCTGTTCATCGGTGAGTTTATTGGTGGAGGCCAAGGGGTGTCAGAATTTCTCTTCTGTGGGGGCAGCTTGTGCCACACTCTTGGTTGGTGGGTTGGTGGTGCTGGCAGTTCTTTTACAGGCTGTGCTCTGAGGCCCAGGTTAATTTCTAGGTAATTTTTTTAATACTCAGCACATATCTCTACATGGATGCAGAGCATGACAGGCCAACAGTACAGCTTTACCCAAAGCTCTCATATTCAAACATTAGTTTAAACAGCAGTATTTTAACCAAACCAGAGCTGCTGTAATGTTTTGATGCATAGGAGATAGTTTATGACAAATGGTATTAGGACATCTCCCTAACACAAAAGACACTTAAGTGAGATTCTGAGTGTCATTCCTGTTCCTGGCTCAGTGGAAGCCACTATGCTTCAGATGAGCCTATTTATTACCCTCTGGTAATGGCAAGATCCCTCCTGCTGCTCTGTGTGGGGATGGCATGGAAGGAATAACAAAGAACTTCTTGATCAAGGGGGATGAAGTTTGTTTATACGATGGGAAAAACAAGGAGGAAGGAAGACAGGCCCTCCTCCTCAAAAACACAGTTTGCTCCCAGACAAAAGGAAGGGTGTGTATCCAGCTGGACACTCCTCCCTGGGCTGGAATTCAGAAAGTCACACCTGCTGCTTTATTTTGTTCATACCTACAGCTGGTTCCCCACAGGTTCAGATACCTGGCAGCCCAGCTCCAGGCTTTGAAGGAACACATGCACACACACACATGCACGTTCACACACTGTTATGTGTTTTGCAGGATGAAACATGTCATCCTTTTCTACTCCAGATAAACTAATATATCCCTCTCAAAACCAACCATGATGGCTAGAGGAGAATATCAGGAAGTTAGCCCACTGCTTTGTGAAACAAAACTCTGCATTTGAAGTATCTATTTTTTCAAGCTAAATACAGAAGAAAGAGTAAAGTCAACCCAGTCACAAATATCTATCCTTAAAGGCTACACTGCATGCTCTCTTCAGAAATACAACTGACAGTTTGAGCAACCAAACCCTCTTGAGTTGCTTCTGACACAACTGTGGGCAGAGTTGAATTTTCATCCTTTCCAAGCACATAGCTCTGCTCAGTAACTGCATGTCAGCTCCTAAGCAACAGCCCATGAGGCAGGTGAGGATAAACCCCCACATGGTTTGGTATGTAGCTCTTAAGATCTCGAAATACCAGGTAATGATTGTGCAGATTAAATAGATAACCAATACAAGTGAGCAGGAAATTAGGAGGGGGGAGTTTGGAATATAAGGAAAAAAAAATTCAAAAGAAACCAGGCTTTGTTCATTTTGCTGCTCAACAAACAACTTGCAGGAGGCATAGGGATTGCTCCAACACCATGAAACAATATCCTTTGCTTCTCTTTCCAGTCACTGTTCTGGTGCTCATGATCATTGCCTGCAGTTGCTGCTGCTACAGCTGCTGTGGCTGTGATGACACCAGAGGTAGGAAGAGCCAAGTCCGCCCAACTGCCCGCTCGTGAAGTTCAATGAGGTGACACAACCTACTATCAAGGACACGCATGGACATCATGATTCAGTCCTATGGGAATGACTTTCCACACTAGCTCACTGAAAATGGCAATAACAATATTAATTAACATGACTCAAAGGACCAGAAACCACAGCGTAGAATTCCTTCTCTCTGTGACAGCCACTACTGTGACCAGAAAGGTAAAGCTCCTTTACCATCACCGTCTCCCTCTTCTGGGGTGGGATGGGGTGGGAGGGCATGGACACAAGTTGCTGAGAAAAGAGACAGCTTTCCCAAAGACAGCCCTGCAGCTGGGCCAGCCAAGGATCCCCTCTGCGAGCACGGGGCCACAGACCAAAGCAGAGAACACGTCCAGGACCACATGCCAGGCAGTGCCTGCTCTCCTCACAGGTGGCTAATCCAGAAGGATGGTGCTGGGCATTAGCAAAATTCACTGACATCACCACATGCTCAGGTGATCATGGATCAAGCCCAAACCTGCTCTTTCAAAAACCAGCTGCAGGAGACATGTTTAGCTGAGTTATCTGCTGAAAACAACAAATCATGGACCTTCTGATCCAGACGTGCCAGCTGAGGCTCTGAGAACAGCTGGTAACAAATGCTCCTGGTGTCATTTCATTGCTGTTACAATGAGGCGAAATTGCCAAAGGAAAAATTCAGATCATGTGGAATATTCTTTGTAAACAGAAAGACGAAGGCAAAAGGGAAAAACTCACCAACACCACAGCTTATTTTGATCATACTGCTGCTAAACGTGCTCCCTCCCCACCCCCCTGTGGTTCTACTGCTTGTTGCAGATGAATGGTTCTTGCAGAGCATGGGAGCTACAGGAGATGAACAAATCCCTGCCCTTACTTGAGGGATCTGTGGCCTGACTCCCTGCACTGCGTGCAGTTTATTTTAGTGGACATAAACATTATGCCAAGGGTATGTTTATGAGCAGGCACAAAGGCATTTTGGAGGAGTGACACGCACCGTGGTAACCGTCACTTCAGGGTATGTGAGCAGCAGCTGACAGCGGGCACGGTGACAGAGCAGAGCCAAGAATGGGCTGTGCTGCTGGAGTTAACAAGTGCAAATAAATCCCTTTTCCATGCTGCAGCCACCGTGTATGTTTGGTTTGCGCTCCGGTGAACTTCCGAAAGGGATTTATGTACGTACAAGGCTGTGGCACAGGCCACGACTTTCACAGCTGGGACAGCCCAGTGGAAGGCTGAAATACTGCACAACTCAAAGCCACTGGTCTTTCAGCACCAAATGTGGGACCAAACACCTTTTTGAGAAGGTACAAAAAGTTACATGCACATAGAGAAGTCACCTTCAGCCCCTATATCCCAAGTGCTAAGTGCAGAGGAGGCAAAGGGATTACACATGTATGTACCAGAGGCAACATGGAGCTAGGGAGAATAGAATCATCAAGTTTTTAACAGTGGGCTTTTAAATATCCTTTACACTTCAAAAGGGAGAAAAAAATAAAGAAAATTTTGTAAAGAAATGTCTTTTCTCTGATGCCTGCGCCCAGATTGGTAAAAAGCACATTACATCAGTAGTTTCTTATGTTTAAGAACTTTATTTTTTGTCAACAAACCAGATGTGGGTATTTGGCATTTTTGTGCTGCTGCACATTGGAATATATCTGCAGCCACTGACACAGAAAATAGTCTAAGAATTAAAAGAAAAATAAAATTCCTCAAACTACCGATGTTACTTTTAAATTAATAAAAAGGAAAAACCTTCCAGCAGAAGATGAGGATGTTCCTCAGAAAGTAAATAGCTGAGCCCCAACTTGGCAACTGCCAACAGCAGACTACACTAGGATGAGCCACTGCACAGTTACACTCAGACTAACAAAGCACTGGGCTTTAATTAGGCTGTCCCAAAGCTTTCACTGCCAACCAGCATATTAGGGTAAAATAAGCTCAAGCACAGCATCAGTTCAGTCTAATCAACATTCAGAGGTGCATCACACCAACCTCTCAGATATGTCATTGCTCATTTCACTCACAAACAAGTGGCAATCAAGGTGGCATCGGCAGCCTCAGAACCTCTTTTGCAGGAGACAGACTCAACAGATGTTTCTGTATCTAAATTAAGTCACAAGACCCGGGAATGAACAGAGCTCACTTTCTTTCCTAGCTGGTGCTAGACAGTGCCAGCTACAGACATGAACAGAATCCCATTGAGAACTGTTGGAGCAGCATGGAGCCAGTCTGTGCTAAGTCAGGAGGAAGCTCAGCAGGCTGGACACATACCAACAACTGACAGGTTGCTGTCACTGGGAACAAGCTGCCAGGCCTTATCTCAACAGGAAAAGCTACAAAAGCATGTTTCCCAGTGGTGGTACAAGTTAAACCACTGACAGATACCAGGCAGGGGGACAAGAGAAATGGCTCCTCTCTTATCGCTGCCGCCTTAAGTTCCTGAATTAGAAACTGAATAAACACAAGACTGTTAAACAAAGAGAAGGACAGAAAATTAAGCAATTACTTAAAGGACTCAGGTGGCTTTCTGGAGCAGAGGAGTAGGCACCATTTAGAGGGGTCCCTGGACCAATTTCTACACACTTGTCTGGACCTCACAGGCCTAATGTTCTGCTTTGTACCATTTTGTACCACTGCACTCAGCTGGGCTATTCCTATAGCTGAGATTTAGACATGCCAATTGCTTGCCTGGATGGGTGGGGTCTGCTGCTTTCTTGCATGCAACTTATCAGGGTGGCCTGAAAGATGCCCAGCAAGTCCCCAGTTTACTGCAGCCCTTCAGCTTCTGCCAACTACAAACGTGCCAGTCCCTGAGTCCCTGCTCACCACCCACAAGAGCTTTTGTGGTTTTGGCTTCAGGCCATACTCATATATTGGGACCTGTAGGGAGCACTAGTGAGGATGGATCCTCTGTTTCAAAATGCAGAGGGAGATTCAGAAAAGCACAGACTAAGAAGAGACGGTTTCAAACACACCAACTCCTGCACATGTTGTGAAAACTGAGAGAGCTAGAAGGAACTGCAAGGGAATACCGTTACTTCAGTGCTGATGATAAAAGTGTTGAAGTCGATTCTTTCCCTGAGGAACCTCAAAAAGCCAGCAAGGCCAGCCCCTCCAGCAGAAGTGGCTGAAGGTCTACTGATGACTTGATGGAATAGCTTCTGTTCTGTAACATTATCCTTCTGGTTTCAAAGCGATTTGCTTGGCTTGTGAAAAATAAGTTTCCTTTTACACACACGCAGTCTCGCACACCACACTCCGCCTTCTCCCCTCCCACCTCTCTGCAGAACCATCCCTCAGGTCTTCTCCAGTCAGGAAAGCAATAGGGAGGCAGTTTTATTGCAGTTAACAGCAGTGCAATGCTCTGTAACGGGTTTATCTCCGTGAACTGTCACAACGGATTTTCGACTGCAGGGCAATCTTGTTCGTGGTCTCACTTTAGGTATAAGAGTCTCCTAAAGGAGCTTCCAATACAGATCCAGTCAGGGTCCAGGAAACACAGCCTTCCTCTCCACCACATTCTGTCCAGACAGGACATAGTGGGCCTTTACAATCACCACAGCACATGTAGGAGGGGATAAAGCCACGGAGAGGAAGAAATGTCTGAGCAACAGCTTGAATTAGGACTTTTTATTTAGGCTCAAGGTCTTTGATTTGATTATATTAGCCACACCTTTGCAGGAAAATCAGCTGTTAATCATTTACTGCAGCACCAAGGTAATTTCCAGGCTACCTCTGAAAGTCTCGAGGCACAGTAAGGGGTCCCTCATCACTGGCCAGGATCTCTTGGAGAGGTGCAGAGGAGGCAATGGAAGAAATACCTTCTACAAACACAACAGCTTCAGGTACTTATAAAATCTTCATAAAGCTCTCCTATTTCAGGAGGTTAACTGTGCTTAGCAAAAGAGAGAGGAACTTCCTGGGGTGTGCAGCCCCATAGGGTTCCTGCCTTTGGGTCTATAGAACCAATATCTAGGCTACCTCCTTTCTGAAGGCAAAGGAAGCCATCCAGAACAGCTTTCCTGTCCCGTGTGCCTGTTGGTTAGAGACTGAGTGTGGTGATCTGCCATCAGTCCAGAAAACAAACCATGAACTGAATATATTTGGCTGCTGAAAAAGAAACAAAACCTTCAGCAAGTGCAAGCTTGTGCTTCTAGTCAAATCTGAGCTGCTGAGGATGAAACACACCTTACAGGACTAATCCTTTTCCTTACAGTACTCAGGATACCTAAGGGGCAGCAAGTCAAACAAATTTTCAAAAATAACAAAGATCTCTTCCTGTATTACATCTGCATAGTTGTATTTGCAAGAAAGTGTGAGAAATATTCCACCCTTTCCCTTGAGAAACAAGGAACCTTCAGTAAAACCACAAGATGCTCACAAAGAGATGCTGGATGTTCTTTAGAGGGCTGACAGCTGAGTCATTATGCAAAGTATCAGTGAAAGAGCAAGTGTGTAGAACCCACTGAGATTCCAATTTAAATTATTACTGGACCTAAGTACTTCATGGAAGGAAAACTTGTGCTTCTATTGCAGAGTAACAGAAAGCATTACTAAAGCAAACTCCATTAGCAGGACTCCCTTTTTAACATAATTAGACTACTCTAAGCCTTATAAAAGCAACAAGTTGTACATGATCTTTGCTTATTGCTGGTGGGTGGATTTTTTTTTTGCTTGTTTGTTTTTAAATAAGTCTTCATTTAATCTCCAGTGTGTTCTCAGAGTTTCAGTCCCCAACTCTATTTTAGAGATCTTTCTAATGGTATCAAGGAAGTTCTCCCACTGAATACTTGGTTTTCATGTATAGGCTGTGCAGCTAACAGAGATGAAGGGTTCATACTGAATGTGCTGGAGAGACACTATATTATTTAAAATATTGATTAACTATGATTAAAATAAATCTCAACTGCCAAAATCTTATAGAGCCAGAAGGTTTTCCTCTTTACATCTTGGTAGATCTGATTGTGAAACAGGCCTCAGCTGTATTTCTTCTGGTTTATGCTCCCATTTCTGTTTCTCCTTTTAGAAGGGGGATGCCTGTAGGCACAGACAGCATTCATACCTGTAACTGGTTTTGGGATTGTGCTCAGAGCATAGAGAGGATACACCAACACCTGACACTGTTCTTGTTTACCCCCAGCAGGGTGGAAAACCAGCATGTCGTCAGCGCAAGAGGCATCCTCAGTTCTGGAAGACCTAAAGACACTGATTACAGCAAGTGACTGGGCTCTTGAAGGGCTGGTGGTGATTGGCATCTTCTGTCTTGTTTTTATTGCTCTCATTTTATTTGCTGCTATCTTTGGGTGCTGCACATCTTCAAGGCACAAACAGAGCGGCACATAGACAGTGACGTAACGACGCGGTACTTGGAGCAAGAATCAGCTCAGCTACAACCTGACTGTGTTGTTCACAGAAAGCTTCCTCATCCTCTCTCCCTGGGTGATTATTTCTCCCCATGCAACTTTCCTGCATCAAAAGCAATGTCCCAATGCCTGCAAGTTGTTCTGCAGGTCCACAGCAAACTCAGTACATCGGGCTGTCTGTGCTCAGGAACTGCGTGATTCGCCACATACCAAAGTCAACTCACCTCTGTCTGATTTTCATCTTTCAAGCAAACCCACCAGTTAGAGGTGGCTACCCCCTAAAACTGATTAAGATGTCTTCTGCTGCTGCAGCTACGTGGTTTGTTTTTTCTTTTTTTTTTCACCTTGCAAAAGAGCAATAGGAAACTCTGAGCACTGAAAGCTTTGTCTAAACCCACTCTGGAAAAGCAGCTTATACCATTGTTCTCCTGTCATACCCGGACAATAGCCTAAATATACTATGCAAAAACTTGCTTGCCAGTACACAATCTGTCTTTATTTGTTCTTATTTATAACCTTGCAAGGTCAGAGTTTAAGGTTTGCTTTCACTGTTTGGATGGTAAATAGAACTGTATTAATTCAATATGTAAAAAAGAAATGCAACGTGGCGTTTCTTTCCAGATCACCTCAGTGTCCTGCACAGTTATAAGCAGGGAGGTCAGTCAGTGGTGCTGCAAGATGTGTCACTGGGATGCACATGGCATGTTATACAGCAGGAAGAATGGACCAAGCTGGGGGTGGGAAGAAAAAGTATGGGAGATGTAATTTCTAATTAGGTCAGTGATATTCAAATTATTATTCTGAGGCCCTGACACAGAAGCTGTGGCTGCCCCATCCCTGGAAGTGTTCAAGGCCAGGTTGGATGAGGCTTGGAGCAACCTGGTCTAGTGGAAGGTGTCCCTGCCTATGGCAGGTGGGTGGAACTGGGTGGTCTTTAAGGTCCCTTCCAACTCAAACCATTCTATGATTATACAAACCCCAGACACAAACAGCCCTCTGATCACTGAGCTGGTAACACACAGCAGAAGGAGCAGACCTACTCAGCCAAGTGGATCAAATTCTTAGAGCAAGAAGCCTCCTAGAAGCTACTTCACAGCATCAGCTCAACTTTAGGCAAAGAAGTGCTCCTTCAAGTGCCCAAGGACCCAGTGTCGTGTCATATTTCAGTACAAAAAGGACTATCCCATAAAAAACAGGATTTGTTTACCAAGCATGACAACAAGGACAAACATGACAACACGCTCGCCAAGGCATCAGAAAAAAAGCACATTACATTCATGCTGAAAAAGTTGTTCTAGACTCAGGTGTGAAAAGTGAAATGAAATGCAGAACTTGTAAGCAAGACACATGCAGATCATTTCCAGTTAGTGAACACGCACTGCTCTCTTCCTGACAAAATTACAGCTTTGATGTCTTATCCAGCATAAAACAGCAATTAGTACAATTACAGCTTACAAGGCATGCACTAAACCTGAACAATGCACGTTGTGGTTGCTAGTCTGCATTTAGGTTGGACACATCCATAATTTAAGCCTGTTTCTAAAACATTCTAAGCACCTTGTAAGGTCAATGAGAATCACAGATACCCAGTACTTTGCAGATTTACAGAAACATTAAATCTAAATGCTTCCATCCCATGCTGATCAGGCTGTCTGTTTGTCCCCTCAGGAGAGAGGTGATGTAGTGAAGGAGGAGAGAGTCAAAAGCAATTGCAACTAAGTCAACCCATCATCAAAGATAGAACACTGTAAAATACATCACCGGAGGAGTTATAGTTTAACATCCCCATGTCACTTGGTGAGGCTCCAAGACCAACATCTCACTTAACTCAGAGGTGGGAGTGATGAGAGAACTCCCAGGGACACCTTCCTCAGCCCAGACAGCAAAATATCAAGCAATTAATTCAGTATTTTTTTTTCCTGGACATGCAGGATCAATCTCAACCATAACAGTTCCCTGGAAGGATAGGACATGGTTTCCCCAACATTAACATCAGTGTTTGAAAGAAGTGCACTCACCCCAGCTCCTCGCAGAAGTTCACAATGGCATCAAAAGCTTTCATCACAGCTTTGTCAGATTCTTTTAAGGTGCCTTTTTTTTCCTGAAAGTAGATGGGGACAGGAACTATAGTCTTCAATTTAAATATAAACAGGTAAAGTAACTCTAGCAATGACCAAATCCAGCCCTTCTGATCAATATGGCAAACAGGTACAGACACCTCCATGTCTCTGCTCCAGATTTCTGCTCACCCACGTCTCTCATATAGAGCTGGGGTCTGGCAGCTCTTTCCCTTCCTGCTTCACTCCCTTCTGCTGTCCCTTGAAACAGGGCTCCAGAAGTTCTAGACCCAGAAAACCTCATTTCATCTTTGATTATTCAGAGGTTACTGCAGGGAAACCAGACTAGAGCAAAGGCTGCATATCTGGGCAGGTGGATACTCTTCTGCAGCTCTCACCTGGATGTTGGAGAGCTCTTTCTTAATCAGGAAGCTGACTTGATCCCGGTCATTCCTTGAGTAATAGAGGCGGCAGCAGGATGGTTTCCCATCCCTCCCAGCTCTGCCAGACTCTTGGTAATATCCAGCCATTGACTTGGCAATATTCCAGTGGGCAACAAACCTGCACATGATAAAACAGGAAACACGAGGCTGCAGGTTTCTCAAGAGCATTTCTCACGTTTGTAGCGGTTGTGGGCACCAACAGCAGTAAAAAGTAGGGCAGCAAAAGCATAAAAGACAGAGAGAACTGAGCACAGCAAGGGATTTTGCACACAGAAGTTTAAGTCCTCTTAACACACGGGGGAAAAAAATGCATCTGGACAACAGGTGAGCAGGATGACATGACAAATGGATGGAAAAGAATGAGCACATGAATATCCCAAACATGCAAACAACTGTACAGCTACGAAGACTGAGAATAAAGACATTGGATTAAGGAGTTTGGGAGATTTTACCATAAAACACAGCATTAATTAAAAAGGGTTTTTTTTGTGGAACACAATTTCACCATTACAAAACACATTTTTAAATACTTGATTTTCAAAAGACACTTCTTTGCCAAAGTTTGCATGGGAAACTCTGTCTCACTGTGCTCACCTGCAGATGAAGGCACCCTTCCTAGCCAGCAAATATGACTATAGAATCATTACTACATTTTATGTAATCTCTGAAGGAAGGTTTTCAACACACCACTGCAAGACTGCTTTAAACCTGCCAGTACCTGACTATTCAGCAATTCAGCTTATACCTGCTTTGAGAGGATTTTACAGAACAGTAACAGTGCCAATTTTTTAAATACCAGTTTGCCTCAAAGCCAGCATGTCCCAAGGGCAGGTATGATGCATATGGGTGTAGCTGAAGATTAAATGACAAAAGCAAGCAAACATGTTTCTTCAAACACAAACACTCCAGGAACAGGCCAAGCAGGAACCATCAGAGCCCCACATATTTAATGCCCATCAGGAAGTTTACTGAAGAAATTGATAAATAATCTTAAGCAAAACTGAATTAACAGTGAAGAGAGAGAAGCAGATTCCATCCGAAACAGACACCACCTCTGTTTTCCCTTTTGCCCAAAAGAGTCACCTCCAGAAGTTGTCAGACCTGATCTTACTTGATAACATATGCACAAATACTCATAAATCTGCCAGCACAGAGCAGAGGCTAGGCAGCAGTGCCTTGTTAACTTTGGTATAATGTCCTTTAAACTATTTTAAAAACATAAATTACTATAGTCATTTTAACTCCATTCCTTGGAAACCAACCAGATTACAAGTGTATTTCAGCTGTATTTCACTCTCAATCAGCCATTGATCAATCTCTAACATTTCAGTTACTCTTTGCTTTTTTTAATGACAACTGAACAGGGCAGAGTGGCTTCAGCAGGTCCTTAACTCATGCTGCTGTCCTAGGAGACTTCTCATTTCTCTGTTGGGTGATATGCATCAAGGAGTAAAGTGGTCTGTCACTGTTTCCTGGCAGCAGTGACACAGACAGAGGGATGGCACAGTTGTGAACTGATAGGATTGTCTCAGTGATGTCCTGCCCCTCTCCTACAGTGTTCAGAGAAACTGCTTTATGTGGATTTTAGAGTAAAGATCAGGTCTGTTGTGGGTGTTGTCTGAGCTGCACCTGAATGATCCCTCCATGAAGTGATCCCAATACTCACTCAGCACAGCTATGTTGCAGGGCAGGAATTCTAACACAGAGCCCTTATGGTGACAGAAATCCCAGAGGAGCAGGAATTGAAACCATGTGCAAAGTTCTGGCCTTGGACTAGAGCTGTATTTTTATATGGTTATTGCCATTTGTGAACTGCTATTTTTTCCCCTTGCTGGCTCTGACTACTTTAGTAGAGGGTGCATGAATTATTTTAGGTGCAGATTTTCTTCCCACTGCTTTTTAACGGCAACTGTTTCACTAAGGGAAGTGAAAGAGGCAGCTGTGAGTGCCTTGAGATGGCTCTCTCTGAAACCCTGGGGGGTGTGGCAGAAAACAAGCATTCCTCCAATTTTCTTATTTTTGGGTATGACTGGCAAAGAGGAGCTCTGCTGCCTTGTGTTTGATTCCTTTACAAAGCCCTTCCAGGTTTGTTTTTGCTGCTTCTAAGCTAAAACCTCCCAGCTCTGGTTTTGTGGGTTTTAGCAAGTGTTCCTCAGGCATTTGAGTCAGGTGTATCAGGTAACAGAGACACTGAGACTTTTCCTTCCCACTGCTCAGGTTTCAGTCTCTGGTGGTGCCCAACACTCAGCCTCACCTGACGTTTGCTTTGTCTACTCCCATTCCAAAGCTGATGGTTGCAACAATAACAGGGATCTTCTCCTCCATCCATTCATTCTGGATGGAAGTCCTGTCAGCTGGCTTGAGTCCTGGGAAGGGAAAGAGAGGGAAGGAATCAACAACAAAATAAAACAAAAAACCCAAACAAACAAACAAAACCCCCAAAACAAAAAACGAACAGAAACAAACGAGGATTTTCTCCTCCTCCATTCCCTCACTGCAAGCCTCACTAAAACTGACTGATGTACACACTCCTTTCTGCACATGTTTAAACTGGCCTGGCCTGTGACCAAGCAGAAGTCAGCAGCAGCTGTTTCTATTCCAAAGAGGAAAACTTAGCTCTCCTCCCCCGGGATAAAAGCTGTTGTTATATTTAGGCCATGCAAGATCCAAAAGTTCTGGAGAGAGGAGAATGCCATTCTGGTGAAGGCCCTGCACTTATCTCACAGACCTGACATGTGAGCATCAGACACAGTGCAGACCATGCCTAGAAAGCTCTTTTCTAGGCAGCCCCAACCCAGGCCTGAGAGGTGGCACAGTTCAGTTGTAGCAGCTCCTGAGAGATGCAGCAGTACCTGCGTGATAGGCCTTGGCTTTCACCCCTCGGCAGCTCAGTTCAATGGCCAGCTGGTCACACACATCCCTCATCCTGCAGTACACGATCCCACAGCCCGAGTACACCTGGAAACAAAGTCCACCACACTGTCT